TTTAAGTAAATTACTGGACTATCAATCAAACTAGTTTTGTTTTAAATTTTCCCTCGTAATTTAAATTTATCTCTATAGTTTATTGCTCTTTAATGATGTTTTTAAAATTATTTTCAAAGTATCTGGTGACGTTTATTATAAAAAAACATGATTAAAAATGAAAAATTTTAATAAACGATAATGAAGAATATTAGATAGTCTCTTATTTACCTAGAATTTTTTCGAAATTTTTGCTACAAATTTTCCCTGTCTCTAAATTAATTTGAAACTTAATCTTCACTACTCTCTTTCCAGTCATCAAGTTGTTAGTCAGGAGCTATAAAGTCACTGGTGTATTAAAATAATAACGATTTAATCTGTCGATGTATAGTCTTGGTAGAAGGAAAAACTGTAAAGCGAAAATAACTGACTGGTTTTTGCTCGAGCAAACCCTTTTCCTTCCCTCCACTTTTTAACTTTCCCCGTCCAATGTTTCGTTATATCCCCAGCCAACGTCCACTGACCAACCCTTGTTCAAGCGCCTTCATGAACTAACCTTCTGACCGGACCCCCGCGTGCCTGAAATATCCGGAAGCACTCGTGTAAAATAAATGGAGAGAGGTATGTTATAAAGCAACTTTTTCCTCCAGGATTTTTCATTTACTTTTTCTTGCTTTTTTATAGAAACACACAGTATAGATCCTTTGAGAACATTGCATTTATATTATATGCTATTCCTTTGAAATTTAGCGAAATTTTTTGCAATCAATTTCCATTCTTTGTTTATTTCAGATAACATTTAAAGGGCAAAAAATAAGCTTTTTCCACATCTTTCTTCCCCCTCCACTCCGTTAAGTCGAGTCTATATAAAATACATCACTCGTTAACAATGTTCGCACTTCCCTAGGGTCTCTTGTTTCTTTCGTATTCTCTTCTTTCTTTAATGTTGCGCGTATTTTCTCCACCCACCACATCTTTGCGAGGCCTTTCGGCGACCGCGACCTTCGACCTGAGATCCTGCAGAGATATTTTATTCCCGTTGGATTTTTACGAGCCGATATATCACACATCGAGCGATTTTTTTCTCTCTCTCTCTCTTTCTATCTTTCTTTGCCATATATACACTCTTCGTCATCCACGCCCCTTCACTCGTCTCAACATCTTCGAAACATTTTTTAAATTTACACTGCAAAAAAACCGCTTGACCATCACAAAAAAAAATCAGTCAATAAATATTCGAATTAATTAGATTCCTATTCTTAGAAGTGGCTACTAAAATTTTGAGAAACTCCAAAAAAATACTTGAACATCCCTTCAGTCGTTTATGGAGAGTAGTCCCGTGCTAGAAAACCATTATGTCAAGCAGCTGGAATTTTTTTCGGAGAAAACAGTCTTACTCGTGCCAAACTCACCCTGTCTTTATTCTACCCTTGGAAGTGGTCATCCCATTATTCCATTATGTTTCATTTTTATTTAGTCGTAGAATCGATAGGAGAGAAAGGTGTGGTGATAGAACACGATGAAGAGCCAGACAATGTGGTAACGATCGATAGATTGAGAAGGGAAGTTCATCTCCCATCGTCAACAACGACCCAATCGGAAATTGACGTCGCACCCTTTTTTTTTCTCTTCAGTTATTTGATATTAATAAATGCAATAGTATCCCGTGGTGACGATTCTTATTAAATTACTAATACGCTTTCCAACCCCCTTAGTATTTTTCACTATTACTCAGTAGTAGTTAACATTTTTATTAATACCATTAAATCAATTTTAAAATTTATTTAAATTTTATTTAAGAAAAAGTTTTAAAGAGAATTAAACATGCATTTAATCGTTCGTAAGTATTTTTGGAAAAATAAAAATGGATAATTGTGTTTGTTCTTCTGGAAGTCTTTTAACCCTTAGCAGTCCGGAAGCCGAAAGAGAGATTTTAAAAGCTACTCTGTCTGTAATTCACTGTATTCATCGAAACGTGAAAGAAGACACTAAAAATTAATGTCGGGTAAAAAGAGAGGAAAAAAAAGCAATTTTCTTTCCGCCAAAGAAACTGACCAACGGTCAGTTACTGGTTACCGGACTCAGTTTTGTATCCACAATTTTCCCTAAATAATTGAAAATTATGTGAACAAGTGTGTAATTACATATTTCCAGGTTTAATAATATTTTTTTTTCCTTTTTCATAAACTAGTTGGTTGGAAAAAGGGTTTTCACATCTACTCCAATGACAATCACTTTTTCTATGGTTCATTAAATTTTTTGTTTGACAAAATTAGTACTTTAAAATCACATTTGTCATATAGAAGAAGGTAGTAGAGATAGAAATTGATGTTGGCAAACAATTCGCTTCATTTCTCAATTCTTTCAGTTCCTTTTTCCCTTGTACGTTTTACATGCCAACGAATTTTACGGTACATGGGTCAGACAATCGCGGGGGCGCCAGAACGATATTATTTCATCGCTCTCAACTCTCCTATATAGCCAGAGCCAAGTGAAAGAAGGAGAAGATAAAAGTAAAAAAGAAAGGGTCAGGTTAGCGTAAAGCCATGACTTAGTGGTCCTGTGGGTGTCGTCCGTCAAGACCGTCAAGGCCGGAACCTTTTCTTATGTATCTCGCGATATTTTGTCGCCTCTGGATATATTTATCGCCACTTTCTGTTGCCCCTTTGTATAAGTATCCATGGAGCCGCGTGGCCACGTTATTATCGCAGTCGTTTTTCACCGACAGAAAACGATGCCGCGTGCCATGAAAAGCATAAAAAAATAATCGTGACTGCTTAGGCTACGGTGAAGCGAAAAAAACACCGAGTGACGTAGCGACAAGTTAATTCCACTACATTTGAGCACGTCGCTTCCTAATGGCAAGATACATCACGCAAATTGCCATTGTGGTCGCGACAATGTGCTAAATGTTGGTATTGCGTTTTTTCTTTGACATATGGCATACACTACAATTTACTTCTTCAATTCTTTCAAGTGTAACAGGGAATTCATGAATATTTTTAGCAAATAATTAGCAAACTTCTAATTTCAATTAATGCAATAATAATTGTTAATCATTTTTGATGAAATAAATTTAATTTTTTTCTAATATTTAATTATTAATTATTAGATAACTTAATTATGGATAAACATTTTTTCTACATTGTTTTTGACATTGATTAAAAAATATTAGTCGACTATAAGATCGAATAAATTATGGATAAAATTTACCTATAAATGCCTTTATGAAGTGGTAATAGTACTGTTATTTATGTGAATATAAATATCATTAATCTTAGATAACTTTAAATTTCTAAGAAAATTATTTCATGCGGTAGGTCAATTTGCTTTCCTGTCCATTTCGCATACTTGTTGCTAAAAATAACAAGTTTATCTATCATAGAAGAGCTTTGAGACAGATGTGCCTCTTCATTCCTCATTTCACAATTATGTATTCCATCGAAAAGCTCTTAAATAATATAAATACAATAATACAATTAAATAATATTAATCAATCATTCGTTGACATAATTCTTTTTTTTTTATTTCTCTTTTGCAGAAATATTTTACAGCATTAAGAAATCGTATTACATCAACATGAATTATTAGAAACTTTGAATGATTTAATGTAATACATTACAACTCTTTTAAAATCATTGCGTTATAAAAGTATATCATCGTCACAAGCTGATTGAATTGATGCTTAGAAAGGAAAGTTGGACATTTTGTTAGTTATCTATATGATATATACGAATAAGCATTCGATTGTGGGTGTGGCAACGGCGCACCTAAATCCCGTAGCTCATTAATAGCTCGTTTGGTCCATCCACACCGGTCGAAGCTTTATACTTGAAGTTTAATTTGGCCCGCTGGTATTAATTTGCCACGATGAACGAGCACATAAGCGCCGTGTGTATACTCTGCACTAAGCATCATCACCAACAGATTAATGGCGTTTATTAAACACGGACATGCACACGTATGGTGGTTAATCTAGGAAACCATTTCGCTTGTTCCTAGTATTCAGAGCTTTTACTCTGCACCTGTATCAATTCTAAATGCTAACTCTACACTAGCTTAATACATTTTACAATAAAGATCCATTCATTTTCACCCTGGTTTTTTTAATCCTTAAACTTAGAAACCTTAAATCTTTTTTTTTCTATTTCATTTACACTTTTTATAGATTTATATAATCATTAAATCATTTTTTGTGTCTTAGAAGAATGAAGGGATGAGTCATAAAAGTGACAATTGAGATATGTGACAATTTAAATGTCACGCTAGAAGTTGACAAGAAGTTATATTAATTTTATTCATTTTATTTTTATCGAGGAACTTTTGTGCTACGTTACATCAAGCATCATGAATCATGTAAAGTAACTATTGACGGAAATGTAACATTAACTGCAAAAGTTAAAATAGAATTTTTTTTTCTATGTACACAAATAGTGAGTGTATAAAGCGATGAATTATTGATTCAATGTTCTAAGTTATCAGTGAACCTTTTGCTTATTTTTATTTCCTTTGTTTACGAATAAATCTCGACATATTAAACAACGAAAAATGTCGCTTATTAAAGAGAATTAAAAAGAATTTTCCCGAAGCAAAATAATAATACCCAATATGAAGACACATGGCTTTAGAGCACACTTCATTTGTCTTGATATTAGCCACGATGCGCCCCCTGTGTTGCTGTATAATGGCAACCCCAAGCAGGGCTGTGCTTTTTACTTCTTCTCTTAGCCTAAGACAATCTTCCCCTCATTGTATAAATTTCCTAGAATAGAAAGAAAAATATGTAAAGCGATAATAAACGAAACAGCCACTCTCGTGAATTCCCGAAGGGTTAATTTCGATTTAAGGGTTGGAAATATTCACGGTTCCTTAAAATCCGTTTTTCTCTAGGGTAACGTTACGCAAAAACGGTCACTCGATCGTTACCACCCTCTGCAATACCTTGGAGCGATTTAATACATTCTTTAAATAATTCGGCCATTTATTTTCCTCAGACCGATTAATCTTTCCTTTTGTTTCAGTCAATAAGATGCACTCTAACTGGATGCACCTGCGACTCCTTCACTCCAGGAAAGCGTCACCTGCGTAGCTGCGACAAATGTCATCACGGCTGGGTTCTTCATGGTGAGTTTGTCATTTTTTATAGCTTATTTTTTCGGTGAATAATTCAAAACAGTAATGAAGACATAAAAAAGAAACGAAAATAGCCGGAAAAATTCCAAATGTCAGCATAGCTCATCTGCCTGGTCCTCGGGGACAGAATTCAATTTTCTACGGATGACCAATACCATCCCCCTTTCACCCTGACTTCTTGGTATATATATTTAAAGCGAGACTCGCGGAGCATAAGATCTTGGGCTTTATGCGCTCGTAAGTTTTATAGTAAGAGATCGAGGTGTATCGTACGAGCGTGTTATAATATCAAACGTGAACAGATATATATTGAGAGAGTATGGTTTGGTCTGCAGACACGACCAATCGCCATTTAGAATTCGTAAATCGTGTACTCACATGAGGATGTTGAACATGAGGTTAAAAGATAGGAGCTAGAAAGAAGCGAATTGAAGCAGAATCGCGTTTAAAATTCCGACTGCTTGACCCGCGATAGATTGGACTGCGGTATGGAATACATATCAATTTTGCTCGGATAGTTGTCCCCAGGGATTTTTCAGTAGCCCTCCATTTCGTTTGAAACATTATTTTCTTCCTTTATGTCCTCGAAAATTCTTCATGACGGCTTCCAGTTATTTATTGTCCGTTTTCCATGTCATGCTGTCACATTTTTTTATTCCATTCTACTGATGATAATGCCTAATAGTTGATAGTTTGGGATATTCATTTCAGTATGATTCCAGCAAAATTATGACTTCATGTTAGGCAGCTAAAAAGAGACAAAATTGAGAATGACGTCCACTGACAAAAGCTTTTTTAAATTGTAATGAGCTGCCAAAGGATGAATTATGTACCTTCCGACTGCCATCGAGTCCTCAGTCTAAAAACCCCATCACAACTCCATATATCCTAGCACCCTTCATCTCTTTATTCTCATCCTCTCTTATAGTCAGAAGAGAAAAAGAAAAAGAATACCCGTTACACCCCACGTCATGAATATATTTACATTGATCGTCCGTCTCGACATTTTTCATTTGCCAACTTGTGTTGCTTGTAGAAGAGTGTCTATCCCCCAATACTTTATTTATCGTCCATCGAATGCGTCGTCCTGATGTTCTGGAACGAAGAAAAATCCGCCTCAGGGTCTTATATACAGCTTTCATCTTCTTCTTAGACTATGAATGATGAAGTTGCAATTGTTGTCGACATGAAAACCTCCGCTAAAAAATTAAATAAATAAAAGCATCATCTTTACCATCGATTACCTTCCTATGAAAGGTATTTATCACATTAATCAACGATTAAAGAGTTGGACATTGGAATTAACTTGAAATTGATCGGAATTGAGTATTACCATCTGCCCATCACCCATCTGTACTCTTTGAGGGCAGCTGGTCTAAACTAGCACTCCTGGCGACCGCCTAAATTTGTCTGATCGTTTAAGTACTAGGAGGAGGAAATATTAGCTCTATCTCAGTTACTTATAAATCATGAAAGGCGTTGCCGAAAGTGACAACCTCACTCCCAGTATTAATAAATGTTGCTATACAACGCGGGTATAATAGTCTACATAGTGTCTATATGGAATATGAACTACGCAGGGTGGTTTACCCCCTGGTAAGAAGCAACTGTTTTACCACGAAAAAAGATCAAATCATGGCGAGAAGCTTTTCCAACCGCAGGCGACTAGTTTAAATCGACAGGGGGTGCGTTACGGTGCCATTAAAAGCTCGCTGGATCTTTTCAAACTTTGCTTTCCTGAACCCACGACTATTTGTTCTAATATGAAACTAATGCTAATGACAATATATCATGAAAAGTAACTGTCTCATTCGCTTTAATCATTTTTATTCCCAGACTTTTTTTCGCTATTCTTTTGCTCATACATTTATTTATCAATGTTTTAGTTTAACTTTATGAAAAAAAACTTATATATTTTAATAGTTTATTTAATAAAAAGTATTTTTCTTCTATACAGTGATGTGGTCAAAAGCTGCTACTAAAATAAATTTTTTAATAACGTTGGTACAAAATGACACTTATATTCAAATTTATATAAAATTAAAATATCAAGCCTTAGAAACTGGAATAAGATAAAATGTTCAATAAATGATCCTCATCACCTAGTGAATGACTAATTCATGAATGTTATTACTTACAATGGTTTTTTTAAAAACAAACTTTATAAAATCTTTACAAGATAAAAAAACGATTGTAAGTATTAAATTGAAAGTTAAAACAATTGATCTAGATCTGAAGATACTATTGATTGATAGCGAAACGTAGTGAACAGTAGTTTGTTAATAAAACACTTTAGATTGGGTAAAAGGCTGAATATTCTTCATTTAATATCAATTTTCACCAATCTTCAAACTAATAAATAATTTCACTGTAAATGGAAGTGTATTCTTGTTACACATTTAAACGTGTTAAATATGGCGTCACCCATTTGATCAACATTGTAGTCATTTCACTGCAAATCCGAGAAAATTTCAATGTTTAGTCATAAAATACTTGAAGTGTGTAATAATAAAACACCTAAATGTTTACCATGTTGAACACCATAAAAAAACTATAGCATTTTTGTAAACAGGAAGAAGTGATTAAAATTCGTGTACAAAATTACTATAGTTTCTTCATAGGGTTTAACATTATAATCACTTTAAATGTTTAATTTCTAAACACTGAGATTTACAGTGTTATCATTGTATATTAGGTTTTCTCTCACTTTTATATCTTGCTTAATATCTGTAGCCCTAATTTGGCTCACACTGTTTAGCCTGTGTAATTGTTTAAATAAATTAGTGAATTAATTACTAATATTTGATTTACATCAACATATTGGTTATTAACTAAACGATCGTTATTTATTGGGCATTTCATCAAAAAATTACCAAAAAAAGTAATTCGTTAACGACACTGGGTATAATACCGCAATTTAAACTCGAGAAGAGTTCTTTGTGGTTAAATCAAAGTGACGTCAGATTAAAAATAGACGTAGAACAAGCGCACGAGTGAGAGTCCGCGAAAAGCATGACGACGAGGTTGGTGGGCCGAGTTGATTGTAAACACTGAGGCGCCGTGGCGCTTTTACGATACCACGCGTCCCTTAGTCATGTTTACATTAAGTCATTTTGGTCGTATGTGACCATTTGCTCATTGTGACACTCAATCCGTTGTCTGTGATACATTTGTATCCGACTGCAAGCCTACATAGCAGTGAAGTTATTTAGGGGATAAATTACTTGAACTATTGTAAGAAAAATCGAGTAACCCGACAGACGACGGAGGTTTATCGATGTCGATGCTTGATGTTTCTTCAGCAATTTCCTCGATTAGGATTAAACATTGATGCGATCGCTTGATATAGATTAATGTCTCTCTGAAAGTCTTCTTCTCTGCTTCAGTTTCTCAGAGATGTTATTTATCTTTTTTCTCCTTTTCCTTCTTGGAAAAAAAATCCCTTTTACCTCTGAAGCTCTGATTCTCACCCTGCAGTCTTTCCTATTATCTCCTACGGTGTCTGAAATTGCTGTCATCTGAAATTTATATCAAGTCAACATGCATATGACAAACGGTGTCGCTATGGGGGTGATCATTTATCTAAAGATAATAAAACTCTGGAAAATCTATTTAATAAATTTTTTCTGGGAATAAGAGAATTTTTGTTATATATAAAAACAATTTCGACATTTTTCTAATTTTATTTTCAAATAGTTTAAAGAATATTTATAAATTACCTCAGTTTTTCAAAGATAATCTGTATAATATTTTTTGCATCTCTTAATACATAGAAATTATGAATATTATGTTGATAAAATACACTTAATAATTATTTTAATTAATATGTAACTCTACGAGGCCTTTGATATGCTTTCAGATTTTCCAAGGTACATGTAGAAAGCTTTTATTTATTTTATCTATATTTCGTATTATCCCCATGAATGAGTGTTTTAATTCTGTATACACCGTAATTAATTAACTACAAAGCCACAGTATTCAGTCCAATATACCGTGTAATAATCGGTAATTACTCTCGGTAATTTAATAATGCCTATATATCTCAACGTAATCAAACTATCTGGGTGGGCTGATATCTTTACTCTGATATTTTTCAGTGTAATTGCTACCTTTTAATTATTATTTAATTGATAACTTTGGACACTCAATTAAATAACCCGATCACTTATATATATTTATAAAATTATAAGAACAAAGAATTTAATATGGTCAAATAAATTGTATGAAATCACAAGTATTTATCAGTGCCAGGATTTTGCAAGTTGTTTGCCACGTGACCAGCTTACATTCTCAATTCTTCTATACGAGTTTCATATCCTAGACGAATAAGCGCACGTTTACCTATTTTATTTGCTGACGCTCAGAAGCTGCAGCGGAAAATGGAAATCTATTCTGGTACATACGTGATTGGAGATAAAAACCAATAGATAAATCTGATTGCCGTACATATAATGTGAATATAGATGTATAAGCTGCAAAGTGAAGGAAAAGGTCGCAAAGGTCTAAGACCGCAAGAGAAGAGTGCGGTCATGAGGTCTCAGTGAGAGATTAATGTGTCGCCTGCTATCACCGGTGATTGACAGCAATGTGACCACGACAAAGCGCCGACGAGTGTAAAATCTCTCTCTATATCCTCTCTCGTCCTCTTGTCATGTATTTTTTTAAACTCATTCGCGGGTCACTGTACTCGTTCTCTGATCTTCACGCGTGACATTTATTTACGCAAGATGTTTTTTTAAAATGTACAAAGCGATATTAATTATTGTTACATTTTGGTGTGAGTTATTATTTTTGCAATTTTTCATTCTTACATAAATTATATTCGGTTGTTGAATAAGTCTTTGCAATATTGCAAGAATCTAAAATTATTTTTTTAATCAAAATTATGCGATTTTTATCAACAGGTAACCGAGTAGAAATAAATAGGCGTAAAAGAAGCCCAAAATAAAAAATAAGCCCAATACCGAGGCGATTGAAGCCCAATTTTAACT